CTCCTGTCCCTGAACACATCCCCTCTGATCCAGGCTAGACCTGCCTCTGTTAGCACTGATTCCCACAGCGCTCCCATCCCTGGAACACGCCCTCAGTGCTAAGTGAGGCGTCACTGTACCTGTGGGGTTTCCTGGTGTTTTCACTCCAATCTGGACTGTTTTCCCAGCATTCGGCCTAACGATGACTAGTGTGTGTGAGACATCCTTGCATTCCTGCATGCTTACATTGTTGCCCACAGATTTTGGAAAAGGCAGTAATATTCAGTAAGAGTTTACAGAACAGCTGTCTCACTGAGCAGTGAAGAGTCCAGGGCCCAGGTATTAAGGTCCAGTAACGAACCAGGAGATTAATCCTGGTACAGTGCTCCTGGCAGGGGTGCCCAGCTCCAGTCTCCGGGTTTTTGTTCCACCTTTTCCCATTTATACCCAAGTTGAGCTCATCTTCTGCTTGACTGAGCCAAGAGCTGGGGGCTGGACCGGAAAACCAGGACTTGGATCAGGATCAGGACTGGACACCCCTGGAATAACCCTTCTGTGATGCTTCTTGGCCAATTCAGTTGATTCCAAAGGGGATCGCTCCGCCGTTAAACTGAAACCTGGCAGCATGGTGACGCAACGGTGTCCCAGACCCACATTCCTGCTCGCTCCACTGAACCCTGCAAACACTCCTTTCATCTTCTAGAGAGAAGCACACAGCAGAGCTTGCTGCCACCACAGCACTTTTATTTTATATACGTTATTATTTTTTGCATTGATACATTGCTTAAATGTGCAAATGTTTATTTAGAGAAATACCATGGCACGGATTTTAAAAAAAGTATTATTATAATTAATGTTATTTTTACCATTATGTACTTGTCTACAGTGGCTCTAAGTTGTCTTGAATGAGCTCTTGATATTCTATATTTTTTAAAAGGGAAATATTACTGATTTAAAAAAGAATATATGCATTTAAGAAATAAATCCTATGAATTACCTCTTATTGTGCTTCATAATTCTTCATACAACTGAAGTTTTAATTATATCTATTGCTCTGATAAAAAAAAATACTTCCCTGCTATGATCACACCTAATTAGTTTTGGAATTTAGGCTAAATTATTCATTTGAATAAATTCCTAAAGCAAGCCTCAGTTCTGTTCGTTTCATTAATGCCAGCAAGTCGGACAGTTCAGACGATGCAAGAAGGGGTGGGAACGATAGAGATCCGATCGATATCTTGATCAAACTCCTCCTGGAAAAGCTGACTTGTAGTTACAGGCTACAACCACTGGAGGGCGCCAAATACTGCGAGTTGTACGCGCGGAGTTCGTGCAAACTCGTTATTAATATTTCAAGTAGGGAGCTGCCTCAGCATGCGTGGGCTACAAGGGAACAAGACGAGGTTTATTCCAGGCTGAAAAGAGAAGAAAAACTTCGGGTGTTGATATCCGAAGAAGGCTCTACAGCCGAAACGTTGTGTTTCTTTTCTTCTCTTTTCAGCCTGGAATAAACCTCTACTTGCTCATTTCCATGTCCCCGATCGCCGGTCTCACTGACCCGATTGCATCTCGTATTAGAGATGCTCTCGCACGGCACTGGGCGGGGGCTAGTAAACCAGATTAGTGTTTAATCAGAGCGGCTGGAGCTTTTCTTCAACTGTGAGCAGAGCTGCAAAGCGGCGGCGTGTGATACCTGCAGTGGAAACTGAGCTTTTTGTGTCAGGCTGTTGTTTCATCACGAGCAGCTAATTAAAAGAGTTATTTAAACAAAACAGACTAATGTCTTCATTAGACATATAAAGGAGTTTGTAAGGATGTTTCTTACAATCTTTTACAGCTTGCGATAAGGCAGGGGTTCCCAGTCCTGGGTCCAGACACCTCCTGCGCTAACCAGCAGGGGGCAGCCGTGAGCTCGGTACAAGATCAGGGGTCCCCAGTCCTGGTGGTGGGGACTGCCACACGCCTGCTGGCTTGTGTTCAAGCCGAGCTCTGAGTGTCACAATCAAAACTCTTACTGGCTTCACACCAGGATCAGTGTTTCCAGCTCAGGAAAGACACTTGCACGTGTGCCACTCGTCAGCTCAATGAGGGCTTGGCTGAGGCCATTGAGGACCAGCAGTGAGGGGCCATCACAGAGCCCCGCAGTGTGAGGGGACTGAGGGGCCATCACAGAGCCCCGCAGTGTGAGGGGACTGAGGGGCCATCACAGAGCCCCGCAGTGTGAGAGGACTGAGGCAGCCAGCAGGGCCCAGCAAGCAGACCCTGCAGAAATCACCCAGCCTCCAGCTTCTAACCTCTTCAACCAGGACAGAGCCGTGGGGCAAACTGGCAGCAGGCCGGACCTGTCTCTTCACACAGCCACTCACAGGGATGCCAGAGGTGTGAAATACAGTCGTTTCTGCCTGCCTGGGTCTTCTGCAGTCAATGCGTTTTCAATGCAAAACACTTCCTTCATCCCCAAGGGGGCAATTTCAGCTCTTTCTGATGGCTGATGGTTTTCGATAGCCTGCTGTCTGGATCCTGGTGACCCCCTGGTGTGGCCGTTACTCATCCTGCCTGATTCTTCACAGGAGCCATTAAGCACAGGACATCCTACTGTCTCTCAGCCTTTTGTGCAGGACTAACAGTTCTTTTCTCTTCCACAGTGGGGAATCCGTCCACCCGTTTTCTAACAGCTGCTTTTAATAGGCAAACACACACACCCTGGACAGGACA